AAGCATTAACATGTTAGACTGCACCCCATAAACACAATCAAGCCTAGAAATAAAACAGTGAACCACCCCTTTAATACTGTTAAGTCACACCAAAAGGTGCCATTTATCTGTACATGCAAAAAAAAATTTAATTGAAAAATTATTGGTTTTATTTTATTTTATCAGTCTATCCCTACCTCTGTAACAACAAATGGGAATTGCAAAAATAATGACAGTTTTCCAACTGGTTTCATGGACACTCTCCATATCTGCCTTTGGTTAGACAAATAGATATTCTCGCCACAAACACATTCCATTGGTTGAGTCAATGTTGCTCTGTTGGTCCGGTCAAAATGCACAAACAAACAGAGGAATGTTTTCACAGCACCACAGTGTTAGTTTTTGGAGCAATCAGCCTACAAATGGCCTTTTTATTCTCTGCAAATTACACTGGGAGAGTAAAATGTTTATTAATACTGAAAATAATAACACAATTCACCTACAAAGACTAAAGTGGTTTTATGCCCGAGACTGAAAATGAGAATTACTTTATCGTGATAAAACAATTAAGATCTGTATACGGCAGTTGTTTAGAATATTACATGTATTTACAGATCCGCAAACCCTTTCGCCCTGCCAGTGTTAACAATAAAATGCAGCCAGTACACAGCCGTGAAACTCTAAGACTTGTGGGTAGCACTGGCTAACAAGAAGTGTGGCGTTACATTAGCGGCGGATGAATAGCAGCTTTGTACACAGGACAAGGATGAAAAATGATGACCAGTTGGCCATAAGGTGAGGCAGCTGAAAAGCAGTGTGTGCTAATAATTACTTGCAAATGTTTAATAATGGCTCCCCACCTTCAAGGTCAAGGGGTCAAACGAGAGGTAATTAGCATCAGCGGCCAAACTTAGCATTTGAAGCCACATCTGTCCATTGAAGAGCTCAACTGCTTTACTTTGAGAACAAAAAGCGAGTATCTGACGAATGCAGTGTGCTAAGGCTGTAATATTCACAAGCTTCCATCTACTTCAGGTTATAAAAATCAGTAAACATGTCGCCAGCAGTCAATATTCTGCATCAGCACATTTGAAATGGGTGTGTGTAAGCGGGTTTGTTTTGAGTGTTTGCCTATAAGCCCCACACTTGGAAAAATGAAGACAGAGGCTTCTTTCAAAGTCACCTTATTATGGGTCACGCCACAGCGCAGGCTTCCAGTCATTAATGATATTAGAATTTCACAGACACGTTGGTCACAAGTGTTAGTCATAAGACTAGAGCTGTTCGCTTTGTTTTACTTGCACCTGTGAATACTTGGTCAAAGTTGAAAGAGAACATTCTTATCTGCTTTCTGTAGCTCTTTCTGATAATCTTACCCATATACTCTTATATAGAGAGAAATCACACACTTCAAACAACGATAAAAACAATGTAACATTTTAAAATTTTTATTAGAAATAAAAGAAAAACTTCTTGCAATTTCATGTGTCTAGGATCAAATTCGGCTCAAATGTTTCAAGCTCTGAAATAACAATGAACAATACATTTTCAGCATCTATTTGACATGGCTAATGTTAATTTCTATGAATACTAATATATTTTTAACATTTCAATTCGTATAAAATAACATTTTGAATGAATGTGAATGAACAATTAACAAAAATTGATCAAATTAACCTAGATTAATATATTCTGTAAGCAAAACATTATATATTGTTCAATGTTTTTATTTTAGTATTATTCATATACTATTTTAGTATTTATTAATATTTTAATATCTTTTATTTTTATATTTTTAGTTTTCATTTTATGCGTTTTTGTCACATTATTAGTTTTTTATTTATTTTTATTTCAGTTTATTCCAGCTTTATTCCAATTAAAGAAAACCATTTTTAATAGTTTTAGTTTACAATAACAACAGTGTGCCAAAGTACTCAATAGTTTAAAGGAAAACTACACATTTTAACATAAAACGCATGTGGTTCCACAGCTTTATCATTTTTTTCTCTTCTATGGAACACAAAAAAAGATTTCTGAAATATGTTTTTTGTTCATACAATGAATTAAGTAAGTGGGGCACAATGCTTATTTTAATTTTGATTTTAGTTTTAGTTAACATTAACAACACTATAATGAACTGAACCATAAAGTGAAGTCCTACTAACTTTTTAATTTTTATTTTTTGAAACATAAATATGCTGCATGTCCAAGACACTTCTGACAAACTAATCAACTTTTTCCAAAGAAATGAACACATAATTCTTATAAGAATTATAAGACTTATATAATATTAATTATATAATAAAAAAGAAAACAACTCACCTTGTTGGTTGCTGTGGCACTGGATTCATATACCACTGGAATATTTGTGACCTGCACTGACAGGTAATTGTTATCAATGAGAGGCCATGCCCCTTCAACCTTACAGGTCTGAAAATGGTCTTTGAAAGTCCTAAGATGAGGGTCCCCAAACAGGCCACAGAACAGGTAGGTTGGTCGTGGGTGCTCTGGAGCCCCAGTCCCTGTCCCGGGCCGAATTGCTTGGTGATGGCGGCTGTGATAGTTGCATGGCTCAATGGGGATGACGGGATGAGCAGACGATGTTGGCCCGTCCTTGGAGCAGTTCCTCTGGCTCATGAGATCACTGATGCCCAGCATGGCAGAGTGGAAGACCAGGTTTCCCCTGCAGCTCTTGGACGTGCGCTGGGTGCAGGCGGAATAGGCTCGCAGCGCCTTGCAGAACTCAGTACCAAAGCCATCTAGTGAAGGGTTAAGATGGGAAGTGAGAGAGACGAAGTCAGTGGTGCACTTCTGGATACGGCACTGTGGAGTCTGGACCTGGCTCTCACCTGAGAAACGACAACAATTTTAACAATCTTTATTTCAGAAAACTTGAAAAAATATTATTCAAAAATTCAACAACTCAAACATATAATGAACAACTTGAACGCACCTCTTCAATGATGAGCACATTTTAAATTTAATTTTAATATATTTTTTTTTAAATGTCAGCATGATACAACTGTTCCTTTACCACAATAAAGAAAAAAATCATTAAATTTTTAAAAATAAAATAAAATACTTTGACATGCATTTTTTATTATTTCTGTTAAAAACACACACAACACAGGGACGGGAGTAAAGCATTTATATAATATTATTAATATTTGAAAAAATAAATTCCTTATCAAAGTCATGTGATGCATCTAATAAAGTCATGTGACACAAGCGACATACTGTAAAAAATATAAAAAAGTAAATGATATCACAGAAATAAGCCTGCAGATGCTCATGACAACCTCAAGGTCAATAAGTCTCTTAAAATATTAGATGATAATTTGACCTTTTTAATGACAAGGCAAGGTTAGTTCAGCTTGTAAAATGTCATATTAAAAGTATATTTATGACATTTTGAAAAACGATATTTATAAATTCATGTTATTCATAAAAATACGCTTTACCCTAAAAAAATAGTACACTCATATGAATTCATATTGCAAGGAAAATGTTATTCCTTTTTACTTGATTGTTATATCAATGTACATTATGTATGTACATGACAATTTAAATTTAAATTTTTCTTGAAAAGTGTTTCAAAACCATATGAAACCAACATGAATTTAAAGAGAACATTTCCAAGAACTTGGCACATGTGTTTTAAACTAGACGTTTAATAGAATACTGATTTAACCAGTTGAACACATTAACTATGAAAAAAAATACAAGCTACAACCTTCTAACATCTATTGTTGTGACTCGTGTCATAAACCACTTTAAACTGCTTAAGCATAATAAGGTGTGCTAGTGGACTGTGTGTTTCTTCACAGCATGACTCCATGTGTGTTTTACATTATGGTCTAGAAACATTAACAGTCGGCTCAACAAGCGTGTGAAACCTCCTGTTATCTACAAAGGAGAATGCTTATGGCCACAATAAAATCAAATAAAACGGCACTTCAAATGAGAAAAAGAGCACAGGAGGCTTTAGCTATCCACAAAAAGCCAGCACATGTGCTTGTAAGCACAAAAGTGTCATGGAATGCAAACTACATGCAACTATTTACCTCAAAGCGTCATTAGGGTGTGGTCAAAGAGTAACAATTAAAAGTGTTTTCTTTGAATACTACTTCATTTGGAGTCGAGCCAATAACACTTTTATGGTTTTATACACACTTGTTGTCAAAAATACGCCCAAGATCTTGTCATCATGTCACGCGCCGCCCCCAATTAGCCACCAGTGACACGGCACAAGCAAAACAACATCTCCTAGAAAAGGACAACAGCCTCCACACTGCATCACTTAGAGTCTTAATGCCTCACTTTTGAGTGCGGCCCAATTGCATTAGCTCAGAGAGAGGCCGTCCTAATCTGATATCAGCTGCAGCCTCTCCATTAACACGCTTGTGATGACTCTATCTCACACAGTCAGGGCCACCCATTTCTGCCTGCCACGCCAATAACTCCGACCGCAGCGGATTCAAATGCATCTGATTTGATTATCAGATGATGCGGAGTGCTGTAGCGGATCGGCTGATCCGTGTTGTGCTGCAGTCGGCGCTGGAGGAGAAGGAGGCATGACAAAGCACGGGCTAGATTGTGTTTCAGTAACATGCTGTAAGACAATACGGTAGCCTGGCTGAAGCCATGTTGATGTTGTGCTAGAAAGACATTGGCTGGAAGGGAGAGGAAAAAGGCAGTCCCTGCTCCCATCCACCTCCCACTGTGTTTTATCAAGCAAGGCTCCAGTGACATCTGTACCAGAACAAAAAAAACTCAAATACTTGGCAAGGCATGCAAGACAAAGCCATCTCCGGCACATTCCCATTTATAGTCCAAGTGGATGCTCAAAGCAGATGCGCACCAAGTAATGTCGAAAGACCAACAAATAGCTGGAAAATAAAGAATAATGACCCGGGCAAATGGGCAAGGGTATGAAACCACAAAGACTGTGCTGCGAATGTAACCATATTAGCTAGGTATGTCCTACATATCACGGAGAAACAGAGAGGCTTTTCATGGAGGCCATATGTGACCTCGTCGCCCATCGAACGCATGTGCCTCCATTGTTTCTAGTAGCAGCATGGCGTGAGGCGTTGGGAAGGCTGTCTGTTTTTAAATCTATGATATTTTGTGAGGAATATGGTGTAATCTGAATGTAGACCATTTTTTGTAAAAGTCTACATGTGTGCGCTTTCAGTGCACGCAGTAAAGCGACAAATCTGCCACCCGACCATAATCCAATTCACAGCAATCCTGGACTTGAGTTGTTTTTACTGGTCGCTTGTTGAAATGCAATTAGCTTGTCACCTGACAATCCCCTTAAAACCTGGTGTAAGTGACCGAATGCAATTGAATTCACAGTCATACCCTTAAAAAAAGTGCAGAATAGATTGATTTTCCTTATATCCTACTGACTACATCCTCTGTGCAAAACACTTCCAAGGAACGTCTTAGGGGACCCCCAGTTGGGGGCAGCAGATCCTAAGCTAGTACTGGCAGACGAGGAGGGAAAAAAATCACACTTTGTGTTAGAATGTCTCAGTGTCCTGACAAATGTTAAACCCAAACACTGAAATGCCAGAAATCTAAAGAAAGGCTCATTTGAACTGCTTTTACAGCGGTTTAAGGCAAGGCAAATCCTAAAATATCCACAAACCTAGAATGAAATATATTTATTTTTTATTTCAAAATATTTTTTCATCAATAAATCTCTAATATTACAACTACACATTACATGAATAAAATATTCAATTATTTAAACAACTTTTAGAGCTTATATTGTTCCTGCAAAGAACATAAAAGCACAGCAAATCACAGGATGGAGAAAACACAATGTTTGTGTCACAGGCTCAGTACATTTCTGCGATCCTGCTGCTGGGGTGATCCGTCTCGTTTCGAGCACAGTGCACACCCTTGTTGCTATTAAGACGTTGGAAATATTTTCTCAAGGTGGCCGACCGTTTGAGCAGCCATTCTCAGCTGTAGAGGGGCCCAAAGAGTGTGTGCGGAGTGAAATTTCAAGATGTGGAATTTGGCCAGGGCAGAAAGGTCAACAGGCCCACGCCTTCTCCAGGAGTCAACGCGAAGATCTGGAGAAAGCAGGGGGGGTTTACAAGACTCTAAATGACATCTCCAGCCTTAAATTCAGAGCACATACTGTGTTGCACTGAACTTTGGAATCTGGTGTAATACGCTAGTTTAAATCAGACAAATAAAAACGAACCATGGTGCAGTAGGCTAATTTTAGAATGTATTAGTAAGATTTATCTCAGTAAACCACAAAAGCGTCTATTTAACAAGTTTTAAAAGGTTCCTTTGCACAGGTAGTCTGTGAAATCATACAATCGCTAAACAATTAAGCAATATTCTGGACATAAGAAAAGACAGAGGAAGAAAGAAAAAGAAAAAAGAAAAGAAAAAAAGAAACCGAACAGCTGCAACTGTCTCTCGCTTTTGCCAAGATTATAATCCAATCAAATACCACCGAGGGGTAGATGTATATTTGGGACTAAACCAGTTGAGAGACGATACAGCCAGATTTAATAGCCAAAGATGAAATCAAAGAACAGCAAGCATGCTGTATGTTGTTTAAAAAAAAGTATTCCGTTTTGTATGCATGTTTTCTTAAATCCTACATTCCTTATTTCCACATTATTTCCTTACCAAATGAAACACTTAATATAGGCTGCTGTTAAAAATATTTCACAGATATTTTAATATTACATTATACCTTTAGCATATTGCAGCTAAAAGGAAAGCAAACATGTACAGCTGTAGAAAACTGGTTTATGGTTTATGCATTTAAGAGCATGAAAGGGACAGTGATACTGGGAATGCTCACAATAAGTAAATTTCATACTCTATATAAAATACTAATAGGTTAGTTTAAATATTGTTTAAAAAATAAAAACATATTTAAGTTGATCCATTTCATATTTTTTGCCTCATTGAGGAACAGTGAATTGCGTAATGCCTGACTGCCCGCGGTCCATGTTAAATTAATTATGAAGGTGTGACTGCTCAATGGACACCCAGCAGCATTCCATATCTTCTTAATTCACAATGGCATTAATACAGTCTATGGCCAGGACACCCAAAGTGGAGCACTTGACAAGGTGCCAAGTGAAAACAGGGCACCAAATGTGTAGTATTCACAGTCTCCTACTCAGAAGCCAACCCAATTTCAACAAAATCATTTAAGTCTGTCCAAACTGGTCAAAGGCACCAAAATAACTGACAAACAAATAAATAAATACATACATACATACATATTTTCTCTTATTGCAACTGAGCATTAATAAAAATAAAAAAAAAACATTTATCAGTGCCTTAAAAACTAAATAAATAACAAAACAGATCAAAAGCTAGATGGATGTGCAATTTGCAGTATGCGGTCTGCCATCATAAAAACAAAAGCAAACAACAAATTAAACCGAATCACACAATCACTCATGAATACGATGCGAAATTAATTAATATTACGATCACTCATACATATTTAATTTCCTTTGAAAAGCAACCAATCCAGTGAAGCGCAAGAGTGACGCGTAGATCAATGCATTACTTTTATTGGAAATAAAGCTACAATTAGTGTACACAAGAAGAAGACACAGATGAAGGACACTGCCGCAAACTGTAAAACCGTCACATAAACAACTAGAATCCACTTTTTTGTAAGGACATATCTGAATATTAACCAGCACTGTCACAATATAGCACGTAAATCCAATCTAATATTATACAAGCGAGAATTGAACACACCCTCAAGACAAAATCTACTTTATATAGGTGTTTTAATGTATATTTTACTTGTTTACGTCCAATGAATCATGCATAAAGTGGTAAGACTGTGTTTACCTAGGTGAGTGAGAGAGGAGAGGGTGCACAGCACTAGAAGATGTAGTACCGGAGAGACGAGGCGCTCAGCCCCGGGGTAGTAAGATCCTGCTCTCCCCATACCCATCCATCCAGAGAGACTCGAGAGTACTCCACGGGTCAAGAGATCGGGCCTCGCTTCTCCAAACTTCACGTAACGTAGGGATGCGTAACTCTGTTAAGTCGCGACTACTTTTAGGTAACCCAAACCGTCCATAAGAAAAACAAAGTAGTGATTTTGGCAAGTCCGATCCAAAACACTTCTTCCTGGAGCACGGGAGAAAAAGCGCTATTTAATTTGTATTCGTTTATCTATTCGGTGAAGATAATCAGTACGAAAGTATTTTGTTTACGTGCTAAAATTAATCTGCGCCCCGCGATCGCCCGAGTCATGTTGCCTAGTATGCCTACACATCAGATTTCTCCGCCACAAGGAAATCTAGCCCCGTCTTTCCCCAATGATCCATAGTGAATCAACCTAACCCAGAGTTTAGCGGAAACCCCGCCCACACTGACACACAAGCCCCGCCCCTTAAACAATACACCCCAGCCGCAGATTGACAGCAGAGCTCTCACTTTCAGCAGGGAGAAATTAGATGCAGCGGTCCTGGGGTGTTTTTGTTTCCTTTATATTTTTGAGAATAAAGCAAACTCAGTTGACTATCATGACACTACACTTATATATTTTTAAGAAGATTTAGGTAATATATAAATGTGTGTGTGTGTGTGTCTGTGTGTGTGTGTGTGTGTATATATATATATATATATATATATATATTGAATTTAATTAGTTTAACACAACAAAATCTGGATTCATGGAAATTATAAGAGCTGTATAAGTTAACAATGATGTAAACAAAACCCAAATTAAAACATTTTCATTAATTACAATAAAACATATCGAACAATTAAACTTTCAAGGCTCCAGGTATATATAAAATAAAATGAAAAAAATTATGAAAAATATTTGTAGTTTTTGATACATTTTAATTCATTATTTTTCTAGTTTTTGATGCATGGTATAATAAAATTAGATACCTTATCAAACTTCTCTTCATTAAATTTAAAGAACGCACAATTCTTTTCAATAAACCATTCAATACAAGAGTGTTAACATGCGCATATAAAGATGCAGACGTACATAATGCACTGCAAACCCAAAACTAAATTGATACATTACAGATAAAAATAAAAATAAATTACATCGAAAAGTCAAAAGTTTGAAAGCTTTAATGAAAACTAAAGTAAAAGGGCACAATAAAAATGTGGATTATTACAGTATACGTGTTATTGCTAACAGAGATAGCCTACAGCTGAAAGAATGTCTCATGGAAAATATAATGAGACTACTTTATGAGCTTACATTCAGGTTAGTGAAGATATAAACAGTCATAAGGGTGTAATTAAGCTGCATATTTGAGGAAAATTCATATTGAGAATCAGACAAAGAAACTTCAGCCAATTATAGGATGATATCATCAGCTGCTTTATAGCAATAACATTCTAAGACCACAAGACTTTACAAGACATTAATACAGACCTACTTCCTGTGCTGGACAGCTACAGTGCAAGTGGTATTTATAGGGCCACAAACTCCCTCTCACTGTAGAGAAAGCAGCGCTACTGCCGTCCAGCAGGGGAGCAGCAGTGTTAGAAATCCAAGACCAGCTCCACACTGTCAATACAATACAAAATCAGTTCCAAGAGAATGCAGGAGACCAAACATCAACCCATTTTTATATAAATACACAGAATTGGGTTATGCTGTACTATACGGCTCACAGGGATTCCTTGTTTCAAATGATAATACTGGAAATTCTTCTGTGTTTAGTTGTTTTTGTGGTAGAGGGCAAAGCAGGCTGTCTGTAAATTGATTAGAGTATTGGAACAGCAGTTTAATGGAATAGCAGTGTGTAAGCATGTGGGGTTTTAAAGTTTATTGGCTTTAACCCAATTCCTTTTCTGCCACTGCTTAAGTGGTCAGTCAAAAATCAGGCGAGTTGTAAGAAGTACTTGGCCAGCTGTAGGATTAGAGGGATTTTGGATTTCTTTGGGTCATAACAGTGACCTGTGTCTCACTTTAGTGTGACACTGCTTGGGAACTAGATTATAGATTATATAATCACATTTTTTTTATAGATTATATAATTGCTATCCAAAAGCCCCAAAATATTTTAGGTGAGGGAAACATCCAGGTTGACTGAATTGCGTGAGCATGATATTGAAGTCCTAATGCTGGTGTCCCATAAGCCTAAACAATACACAGAGTGTGTATTGTCTTAGAGTGCAGTGATAATGACTTATTGATTGGTCATGGAGAGCATGCATTCAGATATGTCAGGGCCTCAGCTTGGTCCCCTCTGGCACATCTGAATATACGTCAATGGCCAGTCACTATTATAACCTCGAAGTGGCCTGACAAACCACAAAGTATTTCTGTGAGGCATACACTTTGAAATTGTAATTGTCATTAACTAATTTGATGGATGGTATATGCAAGCTTTCATTCATAATTTTCTTAAAAATCATGGTGATACATTGTGTCTAAAGAAATTTCAAAATGAATTTTTATAGAGAAATTAAAAATGTGCTCATCACAAAACAGGTGTTTTCAAGTCACTGAATCAAGGTTATTAAAGTTAACTAAAACTAAAACCATAAAGAAACCATTTTCGTTAACTAAACTAAAATCAATGTTAATTAAAATAAAATATAAATCTATTTAGTTTAACTTGATGTACTGAAAAAAGTAAAACTAAAACCAAAATAAAACAATAAATACCATATAGGCATATTTGAAATAATAATAATAATAATAATAATAACAACAACAACAACAATAATAATAATAATATATAAAAAAATAATGAAACTAATGCAATGAAACCAGAAAAATACAAAAATAAAAACTAATTCAAAATATTACAAAAACTATAACAGAATCTCAATGATAAAAACTGCACTGAATGTGTGAAATGCATTTTTAATATTATATATATTTTTAAATAAATTAACAGACGACTTGACACAAATTATACATAGTTGCCAAAGCCTTAAGGTATGATCACAATTACCATTGCTCTGCGAAATTTCACAGGTGAAGTTCAGTCATTCTGTGTGATTGGGAGTTTCACTTAAGAATGAAGAAGTTCATTCTCATTTTTAGACAGACAGACAGACAGATAGATAAAAATCCAGTAATCACAAAGGGTGAGTGTGAAGGCCTGTTTGCTTGGTGATTTACTAAATCTATGCAAAAACAGATGGTTTCTAAAGTGCACCAGTTTATCCCCAACCTCCTAAAAGTGCAATATGAAATCTGTATTGTTAATGATATACATTATTTCCTCTTTTTAACAAAATATGCATCATATTTGAAACAGATTTCCTTTGACAATACTGTAGGGCATTGGGCTCTAGGCCAGTCTTATGGCGCTTTTCCACTGCGTGGTACAACTCGGTTTGGCACGGCACGGCTCGGCTCGGCTCGGCTCGGTTTGCGTTTCCACTGCAGTTCAGTACCGCTTTAGAGTGGGCGGGATTATTCACATGTCGTTATAGTTGCGCCGCCTCTATTGCCGTCGCCCCATCAAGCTCTCGCTGGATCCGCTCCTCTGCTATCAACGAGAGGAACGTCTGTACTTCCTCAACAGACAACGAAACAGCCACTTTTTGGTTGTTAAAAAAGGCGTGCTTGTTCAAAACAGTTGCATTCGATCCTTCGCTGGCTGTGCTGATTTAAATCTAGCGGTTCTGTTGTGTTTGTGTCACAAGTTCAGTGACTCAGGTAGTGACGATCCTCTCCGGCCAATCCGTGATCAGCAGAGTTTACACGTCACATTTTGGTGAACCGCCAAAAGTGAACCGTACCGAGCCGTACCATGCAGTGGAAAAGCGACATTAGTTACTGTGCTTTGCCTGTCCAGCTGGCCTAGCTGGACTTCTCCTAATACATCAATAGACAAGCTTGAGAGCATACCAGCTCCGGACAACAATCCTCCGCACAGCTGCAAGAGGAAAGGCCGGAGCCTGAACCCAACTCCCACTAAGAGCTGACCCTAACATTTCAGCTCAGTGACAACATCAATGCAATATGGCTAAACTTGCCAGAGACTTTCATGTCAGTCAGAGAAAAAGGCGAGCCCTGTGCCATGCCCTCCACGGTAACAGGACAACGGGATAGTCTTACAGCCCCTCCACGTCCCGGCAGTCACCCTTGTTCTGCAGCTGTACATGTCTAATGTATAATACATCTTACTGTCCGAATCACTCTTGAGGTTGACCTACAAAATCTTGCATTAATTGTTACTACTTCAGAAACTGGATATTTTGATCTAACAACAACATCAGGCTCACTGATTTGACAGTAATTTCACATGTACAAGAATAAAGGCTATATATTCACGGATGGCGTTCATTTTATCATTAGTAATTATTGCCCCTCATTTTGCAAAGACTCTTGCTGTGTTTAATGTGCAGCATGGAAAGAAGCACACTAAATGAAGCACTCTAAATTAACCGTTCTAATGAGTTTCCATTATTGTGATCGACATGCATTGAAACACAATGATAATCGCACCCCACCAATCACCCAGTAAAGAACCAGGAAAGCATTTGATTACAGCAGATAGAGCTGGAAAACACGTAAGAGGGTCCGCACGCATTGTGGCGACCATAATCACACCAATGGGACCACCCGAAGGTCATGTTATCACAAGTTATCAAACCTCCATGTAGATACATATCATTGAACCAAGGGTGTAGCTCTTATCATTCGAACACAGGTTATCTTTGATTGGTCTTGTTCCGAACAGTCAACACAGTGGTTCTTTTCATTCAGCGGCCAGACACAAAGCCACTCTTTTATCTTTACTTCCCCCCTTAAGCACCTTTGGGGGGAAAACAACGAAGCTCCTATTCCAAAGCATCCATTTTAATTAAAAAGAGAGGCAAACATCAGATGATGCTCAATCGTATCGAATGTATTGAGGAGAAAGGAGTGGAAAGAGTGTGTTCGGTGTTCTTTGACCTTGTTTCCCCATTCCCAGCCATCTGTTTTGGCCACTGTCAAAAGCCTCTTTGGTGGCTCCCTGGCAAGGCCTCACCCCTCGCTAGACTTCCTCTATGCTTAGGGGACATTTAATATGGTGTCTGATACATACTGTTCTGTGACACCTCAAGACAAGGGTCTCTTTGTGCAGCTGCAAGGTCCCTCTAGAAGGTAGTGTGGGGCTGGTCGCGCTACAGTCACACACAGACAGGCACATTGCAGACGCACACTCGCTAATACGAAAACACGAGCATGCACCCGTGTGCCTGGACCGTGCATACGCCTCCTCCTGGAGGGCTTGGCCGAATACACAAGCTCCCTCTTTCTCTCCTAAGCACACACATAGAAATTCCGAAAAAATGCAGCTGAAGAAAAAACTAATGAGGCACATCTCTTGCATTCCTGCTC